ARRRAWWAAAWWTACAGASTTTGTATGAAAGAAAATTGGAAGTTCCTGGGCCRGGTAGTGGCATCCTTTTACGAATTTCCTCTGTGGTGGGGGTGTGGATATTTTCTGGAACTACACATTAGAGGGGTAGTATAAAATCACGACTATCTAATATTGGGGTTCATGGTTGTCATTTAGGGTGTTTAATCATGGTTAAACCCCAGTTAAACATCCAACCTGGATCTGCCCCTAATTCAACAAGAACATGAGCGTTAATGTTATCTTAATATTAAATAAGACAAAATACTTGATGTTGTTATTGTCTTATCCTAGCTGGTAAGCAACAAGGATTAAAAGTACATGTTCCCCCCATATCAACGTTCAAATCTACAGTAAAAATCTTCTCCAAGGAGAGAAGGACAAAAATAGGTAAGTAGAATTGAACTTTTTTTAATATGTATATCCTGATATTCTTCAATAAGACTTTTTCATTACTATTTCTGTTGCTATATGAGGGGTTTTGGAGTAAGAGAAAAAGCTTACAAATTTGCATTCTTTTACTGTTTGTATTTCTACCATTGATAGAATTTCAACTGAAGGATCTACCAACATTAGATATAGGTACCTTTACCTTTTACTGTTTCATAATATTATCATAGATCTTAAACCAAAGAATTCTGTGCCTCTTTTGCTACCTCCACCACAAAACCAGACGATAAAGGCAGCTCAGCCATGCGAAATTGAAAAGACAAAAGCAATGGATTCAAATCAGAGTGGAATCTTTGTACCAAAGTGCGATTTTCAGGGCAACTACGAGACAGTGCAGTGTTGGAAGCCACTTGGTCTCAARGAATCCTGCTGGTGTGTGGACAAAAATGGAAGAAAAACTGGTGAAGTTCAATGGGGGAAAAGTTGCCACAAGACATCACTTAAAGGTAAAAAATAGCCCTTCATCCTTTCAAAATGTTATCAATGCTCTGACACAACCTCTAGATTGATAAAAGTCAGGGTATGCAGGCTAACTGGGTTGGTTGGGTCGGTTGCTCTGACACAACCTCTAGATTGATAAAAGTCAGGGTATGCAGGCTAACTCACAAATTGAATCTGAAGCAACTCCTCTTGGCTGATCAAAGTCAGAGCATGGCTAACTCATAAATCGAATCCTGGAACAACCTCTGGGCTGTTGTAAGAGCATGGCATATAAAATTGGAATTTAGCTAGTTAGGTTTTGCAGAGGTAAGAAAAGCAGAGAAATAGTTTTGCATCATGAGAGAGACCTAACAAACTCTATTCGCATCTAATGCAATTCCCGGCCAAATACGGTAGCAGATGATATATTAAACCCAAGACTTTAGAGGTGCATGTTAGAGGTGCATGTTAGAGGCGAGAGCATTACCACAATGCACTAGCATAGGGAGCCCCCTATGAGCACCCCCCTCCTCCCCCCACCAAAAGAATTTACTTTCAGCACCAAAATTTAGCAAATTCATGTGGGATTCCTGTGGATTTGGTGAGAAAATTGTACATTGCCCTATAATCGAGACCTGGCTACGCCCCTGTCACAGTACCACCCTTGATACAAAAAGGCAGTCTATAACTGCATTCTACTGCTTTATGGCAGGCAGAGATAAATTGCATATAAATCTCATAAAGCTATGCTAAGCATTGTGCATTAATATGCTATAGCTAACTTATTTACATATATTATTTTTCAGTTACTTTTGGATAAATAAATAAGGCAGAGTGCAGCTCAACTTGGAATATATTTCCTAAGGCCATTTACCATCATTCAGCACATTTTTGTACCCACATATCTTCATGGTATTCATCAAMCATATTTTAGTCCTTTTTAGTGAGTAGAATAGAATATTTGGCTCAAACATTTAAAAAATTATATGAAAATACTTAATATTATTAAGTGAGATGTATACCTTTTTATGGTATGATATATTAGGACATTTTTGCATGCTTTCCGTTTATCTATTAGGGACCATTTGTTATCTAATGGAGAAAGTATACTTCTTTAAGTCTCCCCTCCCTGATTTTCAAGGCCAAACAATTTAGAAGCCTCTTCCTTATTGAGAAGAATTATTCTCTAAAGCATAAACTTCCAAGAATGTTAGATCCCACAAGCACGTTTTCACCCATTTTTATTTCACACTTCCATGAATAACAAATGGTTCTATAGACTATGTGACATATATCTTTTTCGTAAGATATATCTATTGATATTTACAAATAATCTAATCAGATTTTATCTAGTATTTAGTCATCCATATATTATCAGATGATTGTTAGCCGTATATTTAGCTTTATTCAAGCAAGTTATTGAAAATCCTTTTTTAACACAAAATTTTCAAAACCTTTTTGAAMGATTTTTAGATAAGTATAATAATGTATTTTAAAAGCAATATTTCCTATCAATATTTTTTCAACAAATAAGAAAACATCTCTTATTCCAAATGTATAACTAGTACATAAAACAACTTAGGGTTATAAAAATTAATATATTTTTTCTTAATTTAATTTCAGTAAAGTTTTTTTCTTATGTTAACTTTAACTTTTTTACATTGATCCTTTTGTATCTTAATAAATGTCTTTGTTCCTTTTAATTTATTGTTTTGTTAATGAATTGTCCAGACATCCTTTCAACCATGCATAATAGTCTCACACAACAGTTAAATAATGCATGCACTGTAGAGCCAAATACGAGTCAAGTAAGGGCCAAGGTCAAGATAGGTCAAATTTGCTCATAAAAACCTGATATTATGAACAGCAACAGACACGGGGGAAAAGAATAAATTAGTTAGAAAAGTAACATTCAAACATTTAAATTAAAATGGCCATCAACTTTTATAACCCTTTCTTAATATCCAATGAACACACCCAAATTGAAAGTTTAAAATTTCAATAAATGTTTTTATCGCCAAAGGTTATAGGCAATAGGCAAAAAGGGATAGGGGCTAGGTCATTYCAAGTTCCAAGAATAGCTGAAATGACTTGTTTTTCTGCTTCTTATTCTTGTCAAGAACATGGACCTTAGTGTTGAGATTGATAAATTATTCTTTGTATGACCTATCGCCATAATCCTATAACATTCAAGGTTAACTAGAGATCTTATCCACTACCTAACTCAATATTATCTATCACTCATCTATCTATCACTCATCTATCTATGTATCTTCATCCACTATCTCACTAACACTTACTGTTTATCCAGTAAATCCAAGCAGTGTTTTATTTTAGGGTTGTGTCATGAAGAAACCAAAGTCACATAATCCAAGTCCTCTTTACTAATAGTTTCAGGTTCAGTAAAAATCCGTGAACTAGACGACCTCGAGCGACCTTCAAAACTTGTTTCCTCTGAATCATCATCCTCGATGATGACATCTTCGTTTGCGACATTTTCATTCTCCTGTTGAGCACTATTGTCTTCATCGGTTTGATTGTTGCTGTCAGTTCCAGACCCCAAAGACGTAAAGCTTGATAAAAAGTCTGAGATTTTTTCAAAAGAGCTTTGCGTATCCCCTGCTGTGTCACCTGAATCTGCTTCAATAGCAGTATTTTGATCTCCAGAATCAGAGCTTTCTCGTACACTTGAATCGCTCGTATCTTCATCAGCTGTTTTACTCTCTGAAGACGGATCATCTGAAGTAAAATTTGACAACAATTCACCTGTAATCTTATGTAAAGAGCTCTGTACAAGGCCATCATCGTCTGTAGATTCCTCAGATTCCTTTGTGTCTATTGACGTTTCTTCTTGTGAGTCAGTTTGCTCGACTTCAATTGATTCTGTGTCGTCTGAACTACCTGAAGAATTAAAACTTGACAAAAAGTCTGTAATCTTTTCTAATGAGCTCTGTCTACGTTCTTCAAGGTCACCATCGTTTGATCCTCCAGATTCAACATCTGTAGTATTTTTCTCTGTGTCTGTCGAAGTTTCTTGTTGTGAGACGTCAGTTTGCTCGACTTCATTTGATTCTGTGTCTTCTGCCGCAGAATTTGAGCTTCCCACCGACGTAAAGCTGGACAAAAAGTCTGATATTATCCCTAGAGAGCTAGATTTGCTCTCAACATTGTCATCATCGTCAGACATCTCTTTAATTTGGTGGGAAAAAAATTGTTTTTCAAATGTTTTCTTCGTCGTAATTTTTTCAACGCACCAAACCACTGACCGCAATYACAGCGGGCTTTAGTAGTGACGTCACTCACTAGTTACCAGATTGCACTCGTATTTACACAGGGAACCCACTAGAAGAGCCGTATTAATATAAAAGAATCGACCTTTTTGAGTAGTAATTATTTTGATTTCTTGATTTCAGTTCCCACTTGCTTCACGTGGGWTTTTTTAATTTATTGATCCAGATATCGACTGCTGAAACCGTAATGCAGCCAAAACATTAACTCCCTTTTTGTTTCCACTTGCATAAAACCTCTATGACACATGCGCAGTTTAGTGCGAGTACATCCCACAAGAGTTAATGGCTCAAAGGATATGATATTGTTTTCTGAAGCAAAATCAGGCGGTTTCGAAAGTACAGCATACGGTTGCTGAACTGCGCATAATCCACTCAGGACTGGGAATTTGATACTGATTAGCTTGTATAATCGATATCAGATGAATTAAATCAGTGTTAGCAGCGTATCAGTGCCTAAATCCTTATACATAAAAATGGTAAAATTAAGAATGAGCAACTTTAGTAATGCAAACACTTTAAATTCCAGTGACTTTTAGGCAACACATGAATACTCTCCACAAAGTAAAGGCTAACCTTGAGCAACAGATAACTCCAAACCGCAGTATTCTTCAAATGGTCTATAGCAATAATGTCATATGTATTGCTTTTATATTTGCGCAAACCCGTGCGCAAGAAAAAACCCAAGTGTAAGAAATGCGTAACCAATTTTTAGAATCTTAATGTGTTGCGAAACATTCTCACATCTTAACCCTTTTCAATATTTTAACAAAAAATTCGATTTCCACTTGCATATAACCTTTATGACACATGCGCAGTTTAGTACAAGTGTATCCCACATGCGTTAATGGCTCAGGAGAGATTAGTTTGTTTTCAGAAGACAAATGTTATATTTTCAGAAGTGCATTCTACGGTTTTAAAGTGCGCATAGACCATTCAGGATTACTCGTACGTTGGTACCTCTCTTTTTAAGGAGGCATTGATAATCAAATGATGGGTMAGAAAGATCGTTTGAGTTTATGAAAGAGTGCAAAAAAATAATTGGAATTTTGTGTCTTACGAATATTTATTGATTTGAATCRAAAAAAATGTTTTTAATTGAGACGGTAATTGGAAGGTTTTGTAATAAACCTGTCCGACCTTGATGAGAAGGGGATTTCAACAAATGGAAATTACCAATCAGTTGCATCATATTCTACAAGGTTTATAAAAACATTCATACATGAAATGAATATCCTGAAATAGGCCATTTCACGGATCCCGTTACTCAA